GGGGGCTGCAGCTCGGGCGGTGAGGTCAGGGCCGCGTGGCTAGGGGTCAAGGCGCTGGAGGCGTGCTGAGCACGGGGGGTCGGGGCACTGTGGGGTGCTGGGCAGAGGGTGGTGCAGGGATCGGGGGTGCTGGGCAGAGGGGGTGCTGGGTGGGGGGAGTCAGGGCACTGGGGGTGCTGGGTAGAGGGGATGGGGCAGGGGGTGCTGGGCAGACGGGGTGGGAGTAGGAGGTCGGGGTTACTGGGTAGATGGGGTGCTGGGTGGGGGGAGTCAGAGCACTAGGGGTTGCTGGGCAGAGGGGGTGGGGGGCATGGGGTGCTGGATGGGGGGGAGTCAGGGCACTAGGGGTTGCTGGGCAGAGGGGGTGGGGGGACAGGGGTTGCTGGGCAGAGGGGGTGCTGGATGGGGGGGAGTCAGGGCACATGGGGGTGCTGGGTAGAGGGGGTAGGGGGTGTCTGAGGATCCGCAGGTCCTGGTCAGCAGCAGAGGTGAGGGCTGCAGGACTTGTGGGTGAGTTTGCAGGGTCTAGGCTCCAGGAGAACTGGGGGTTGGCAGAGGGGGGGGATGTGTGAACTGGGTGTGATGGTACAGCAGAGTTGGGATGCTAGTGCCCAGCTGCTGTGATGGGCATTGGCTCTGGGTCCCTGGGGCACCGGAGTGACACCAGGGCAGGTGCTGAGGGCACTAGGACTTGGGCAGTATCAGGGTGGCAGTGAGTGGGTGGTCTGCCTGTGGGAGCTGTGGGGCAAGTGGAGAGGACCCTGGCTGTGGAGTATCAGTGGTATCTGGGGGTATGACAACAGGGAGCTTAGCACCAAGGAGATGGCAGGGCACTGAGTAGATAGAGGGAGTGCAGAGAAGCCAGGTGAGGGGGGAAAGAAAGACTTTGTTGTGGGTGGGGAAGGGGGCTTTGCTGGGCCTTGGGAGTGGAAGAGGTAGTGGCATCTTTGAGAGGGGGTAAGAGAGGCAGAGGGCTTGGAGAACAGCTGATATCAAGGCCTGGGCAGGGGCATGTAGGGAGCAGAGGTAATTTGTGGACATTCATTTGCCTGAAGGGACACTGCAGGACAGGCAGGGACACGCTTGGGGAGAGCAGTGAAACTGGTGGGCTGTTCACAGTATGCATTTATGCCTAATGGGTGCCAGGAATAAATTCCCCCTGGAGGACTGGATGCTGCTAGAAGCCAGATATTGCACTGGAGGGGCTGCTCTTCTCTTCTTATTTGACAATCCCAGGAGGTACCCTAGCTCCAGGTAATGCTCCAATTTTTGGCCAAGACTGCAGTCCTCACATAGAGCACATGTGCTACTCACAGCTCTGGGAGGGAGGCGGAGGGTCAGAAATCTTGGTTTCTATCCTGGTCCTACTATTGACCCCCTCTTTGGGCTTGTGCAAGTCACTTACTCTCTGTGTCTCACAGAAGGAGATAGGGTTACTTCACAGGTGGATTGAGAGCTGCTGGGTGGAATCTGCACAGCCTATTGGTAGAAATGCTTTAATCACTCAGACCGTTCCGTTGTGTTTAAATATTTCCCTGTCACAACTTTCCCTGCTTTGCCACTTGGCCCTTGTGGCATTGGGCTGAGGCTGGAGAACGGGGAAAATGGTTAGAAATAGAAGTGAAACTGGCTTCTCCCTTATCTCTTGCTGAGCTGGGGGAAATGCAGAAAACTGACTAATAGCATAAATGCTGTGAGGTCAGTTTCCCTTTCAAATGCCCATCAGTTCTAATCACCAGGTGTGTTACTAGTAGTGTGGACTTCTTGTTTGTTTGGTTTTTTTTCTTTAAACATGATTTTTAACCTGCTCTCCTCCCTTGTTTGTGAATTGCTGTGATATCTGTAGATGCAAAGCAATACGCAAGGCAAAGGGCAGCTGGTATGCAATTCAGTCCTTGCCTTCTGTGGGGAGACTGCCAACAAGAGGGTTAATTATTGCCCCTGGTGGCAATGATTTTTGCTGTCTGGACACTTTCCTATGGGGAACTAGACTTAGACGCACCATCCCATTCCATGTATGACTGTCCGTTTTGAAAGAGAAGGCATGTAGGCCAGATTTAGACAGCCAAGAACCACTTAGATGGGCACACCTATTCCCAGTAGGTGGTAACGGGGATACCATTACAAGGCCAAATGCTGTACTGGTGTGAGCAGGCACAATTCTGGTGACGTCAGTGGAGTTGTTTCTGCTTGCACTGTTGGCCTGTCGTGCATGTGGTGTAAGATTGTGGCGTATTGCGCACCCCTTTATGGTTGCAGTGAGCGAAAGTGTGGGGAGAGAATGTGCTTTAGAGGGTTGAGAAACATGCCTGCAGTGAGAGAGGAGAGGGGAATGCTAACGCTGGTACTACAGCAATGATGCTTCCCTTTCCATCCACGCTCTGGGAGGAGAAGGGGGTTAAAAACATGAGTGTTGAAGGGGCTGAATAGTCTGGAGAAGCCTGAGCTTAAAGCATGAAGGGAGTGGTTAGGCATATGGAAAATGTGCCCTTTTGACCTTGTTTCAGTAAAAGCTGCAATGACTTCTCTTGTCCCCTCTGCTGGAGGTTTCAAATGCCGTTCATGTTGACACAGCCAGTGTCTTGGGGCTGTTTCTGGAACGTGGGTTGGGTTGGGTGGGTTATGAAGAGGGGCGATGCTGAGACATCCCAGGATCTTTGTCAGAGGATTGCAAGCTGATGGGTAGCACCTTACTGGTGAGCAGAAAGGGGAAGGTAGCATGATGTAACACACCATATGCTTTTAACTCTTTCTAATTTGCCTATGTTTGAACAAATAACACAAATGCTTGAAAATAATAACTTTCTCACATCAGGGTGTCTTCTTGCCCTGGGAAATGTTGGTTCTCCCTCTAGCTGAAATTAACATGTTACTTCCAGGCTTGTGTTCAAGTATCACAATAATGTGTAATACTTCGCATTTCCATTGCACATTCAAAGAATTAGATACACTTTAAGGACTAGGGTCTATCCCTAGCTCTGCTCCTGACTCACTGTCTCCCTTGGGCAGGTCGTTTTCCTGCTCTGTAAGATGCGGTTAATGACGAATTCACAGGATCCTGGTTTTGAGTCCTCTACTCACTGTGTTTCCTCCTGACATTCAAACATTCTGGGGTTTGAGAGCAGCAGAGCCAAAGGTGGGGAGGGAGACAAGGGCGAAATATTGCTCTCTTCGATTCCAAGTAGGTCAAACGTTGCTGCTTTTGACTGTGTCATTTCCCAGGTGTTGGGGCTGAGCCATCAACAGGTGCTTGGGGGCTAGATCTGACCTGATTGGGACTCAGGCCTGCCACCCCCTCTGGTTAAAAGTAACGCTGCAAATCTCCTTTCGAATGAAAACCCAGCAGACTTTACACCTGTATCAAGAATGTTCCTGGTCAGAGGGCTCAGTGAGCTGACAGAGAGGCTAATGGGTGTTGAATCAAACAGAGGATACCTCAGGAGGTCAATCTCTGGTGGGGGTGGAGAATTCTAACATGAGATGGAACAGGCAGGATGCCAGCCAGTCTAGCTGCAGATTTCTGAATGTGTGAGAGAGGCGGGGAGGTGGTGGTTTTCCACTAGTGTGAGGTGTCTCTTGTAATCATTGCACGTGGGCAGCTGGACTGCTCCTGTTTCCAGCGAGCACTGGAAATTCCTCCCCCTCCTCTGTTCAGAAAGGGATGCTCCAGACTCGCGGCTTCTTTTCTTTCCAGGCTATTGCCCTGTACTGTTAGTCTCCCCTGTTCTCAGGCTTTCATCGCCTTTCCTTCCTGAGAGGCCCGCTATCCTGTCCTGTCTCTTCTCTAAATGACACTGGTGGCTCCAAAAAAAATGAAGTAGTGAATAGGGGACAGGTGGGGATTGATTCCTCCAAGCATAGGGAAATAAATCTTGAAAGACATCCTCCATGCGTTTCTTTAGCACCTTTCACTCAGCAGCATGGGAGTAGATGTCTAGCGACATGCAGGATCTGCACTATAGAACTCTTCCTGCATGTTGTATCATCACTTTTCCTGCATGCTCTGGACCACGTTTCCTGCATGCACCAGGGACGCCAGGCATGCTGCTGCCAGTCTGAAAGGGTCCCTAGAAGAAACTTCTGCAGTCTCCCAGTGCAGCAAAAATGGCTGCAAAGCAACATGGGGTTCTTCTGACTGGGGGTTTGCAACATTCTGAGTGCTACACGTTGTGTAGTCATGATCTAGGAAATGCTGACAAAGGACAAGAGGCACCATGAGGGTGTGATGGGGAATCTCCTTGTGATTAGATCCAATCTGTGGGCCCAGTATACGATCAACTGAGAATGCCTTTGCTAGCTGGAGAAGCTTCTGAACCTTTAAAAGAAATGAAGAAAAAACACCCTGCTCCCCAGTGCCAGTGAGGTTCAGACTGAGCTCCTGGAGATCTAACCCTTTGTAATTCTTGTAGTGCTAGTGAAATGTGCTGGCTGCCATCCCTGGAAAGTGAACTATCCACAGGGCAGGCACAACATGCGGCTCACCATCCCCTACCAATGCGGTTCAGCTCCATTCAGGAGGAACTTCCTTTAGGGAAGCGAGGAGCTTGCTCCCCGTGGCCCATTCCATCCTTGGTCTCTTCCAAGATTGCCAGCAGGGGCGTGACAGTGACTTGTGGAACTGACACCAGTCCACCAGCTCTTTCCAGGTCGGCCATTGAACAGGTGTCAGGGGAATGAGTTTTGAACACTAACAGCGTGGTCTGGTTTTGAACTGCCAACTTCAGAGTGAGACTGAATCCTGTCACCAATCCTCTTTTGCCATTGCAGCCCCATGTAAACCCTCGTAATGTACTATGACAGGTCTCTCTCTCTGGCTGCTCTTGCATTGTTGTGCTCAACTCTGCAGTGGTTATGGGGTATGTTCTTTCACAAAGAAGACCAGGCACTTTAGTTTTACTGCGAGGTAAATTTTTCCAGTGGTCAGCTGTGGGTGGGGTCGGGTGGGGTTTCCCGACTGTTTACGTGCTTGGTGTGTGTTGTGTTTTTACCTTGGGACAGCCCACACGTATTAATCATCCTAAGGTAAAAAACACACCACCGTTACCACTGAAGACAGGACCCAAGCCACATGTATTGCTTAGCAGGCATCTTTTTAAACTCTAAAGCTCTGACATATGTGAGAGCAGTGCTGTAACTTTTACTGAATTGAATAGTCATTCTTGTTCCACGCTTGCACCTCAGGATACAGAGCTGGCAGAGAGAAATTTGGGAGTGGTGTGATCTTAGTGACATGCTCATAGTTTCCATGAATTCCAGCAGCTCAGACTTCTGGGAAGATGTTTTTGTGTGTATGTGGTGTTAGTTAAAAATTTCTTCTGCAGTCAGTATAATGCACTTACTGTATTTACTGAGCAGATGACTTAGGTTGTCAGTTTTAAGCAAGGCAGGAGGTGGTTAATAGGCTGTATATTTGACCCGGAGCTGTTTAAATATATTTTATCTGGAAAAGGGGGTTGGACAGAGAGGTGGCTGCATTTGCAGTGGAGACAAACATTCGCGGGTTAGCTAGAACTAAAGGATTATGAGGAACGTCAGAGGGACCTAACAACATGGTATCAAATGAAATTCACTGCAGGTATGCTGGAAGCAACAACTTGAGTTACTCCTACATGTTGATGGGGGGGTTCTCACCAACAGTCACCATTCAGGGAAACAAACCTGGGTGTCATTGTGGGCAGCTCAGAGAGGAAGTGTTTAAGGATTAGACATCCCTGTGAATGAGGATATCATCTGCAGTTACAGTAGTTAGGATAGAAATGTGTAAGGGGTAAAAGTCTTCACGCCTGTGGGTACCAGGCAGCCACTAACTGCTGGTGATCAAGAAGAAAATTCCTATGGGCAGGTTATTGCAGGGTTTTGCACTCTTGTCATTATGGCACTGTGCATTTGGACCATTGATGTGATCTGCTCTGACAATTTCTGTGTTCTATGGTGACTGGCTTAGTATGGGTTGGGGGGATGGAAATAGCTGGTAAACTGAGTGCTGGGAAGGGGGGGAGACAAGAAACCTGAGGCTATTCTTCCCTTCTCACCTAGCTGCCAAGCCCATCTAAAAAGACAGAGGGGTAGCAGCTGTGTCACACTCCATCCTCCCAAGGACGAGTATGTGGTCCGGCTGGGCTGTACCTTTTAACCTCAATCTCCTGTCTGTGTGCTGCAGACCTTTACCAGGCCTTGTCCCCAGTCCTTTAAAGCAGCAAGGAGCTCTGAGACAGGGTGGGAGCAAGGGGTGGGTCCTGCAGTCTTGAGGGGGATTGGCGGAAGTGTTTGTGTCCCTGGCACGTCCTGAAATCTGCGCTGCACTGTTTCCAGATGCATTGCCTTTCTCCGGATTTGGGAGGGGAGGGGTTAAATCGGCAAAGCATCCCCCCCTAAGCCCTTGCTAAAACCTCCCCGGCCAATTCCCTCTCAAGGAATTCCTGGTGCTTTTTAAAAAACAAAGATTTCAAAGTTGCAGTAAGCTCTTGAGACTGTGAGAATGTCGATCCCTTTTTAATAAGAAAGCGGTGGATGTGGCATAACAACACCATTGGGCGCCTGAGTTTGGTTTGCTTTGATTAGCCTTGACTTGGCCACAACAGAACCTCTGCTTCTCCCACCCAGCCCCAGTCAATGTGAGGGGCTGGGAGAACCGCTCCTTGCAGAGCACACCCGTCAGGAGAGGCCTTGCCAGTCCAAATATGGCTCTGGCCAATGAGCCAAACTTTTATTTTCAGAACATTTGCTTGGGTAGGGTCCAAAAACGCCTTAGATTAACTTCTAGAGGAGACCAAAGTCTGTAACACGTCAGCAAAGGTTTGTTTTGAATATGGCTGTGGGCCTAGTGAACAGGAGCACAGACCGAATTCCCCTCTAGGTCATAGATGGGGGGGGGGTGTGTGTGTGTGAGAGAGCAGAGCAACAAACGTCAGTGTCTTAAGTCAATGAAATGCTGGTGTGACACCCTTCAGGCATAGGGCATGTTGCACCTGCATCCCACCCACAGCAGGAGCAGCTACCACAAGGGGAGGGGAAGGGGAAGGGAGATCAGTCCCCCTGGCCTATTCCATCCTGGCCTCTCTGATCTTTGCCCCCAGACTCATTTCACAGAGAGCACTAAACAGCCGCCAGGAGGGAGCGACTTTGAATCCCTGCCAGCCTGGGCTGAATACAAACCACCTCCAAGGCCCCATAGTGAATTACACACCCCTTCGCCTTGCAGTAATCTCTGTGTCAAAGTATCAGTGTGTGTCAATCTTTAATGCACTTATTCTCACCACACCTGTGTGTGGCAGGGGAGTGGTGTTATCCCTGTTTTACAGATGAGGAACTGATGTACAGAGAGGCTAAGTGACTTTCCCAGGGTCACACAGGACATCTGTGCCAGAGCTGGGAATTGAACATAGATCTTTGGAGTCCCAGTCTTGTCCACTTCACCATCCTTCTCTTGGGCAGTTGAAGTAGTTTATGGAAGCCCAGAGTCCTGAAAATAACTATGCCCACAGCAGGGACTCAAAGTAGCTTTTCCTCAGGCTTAGTGGCTAAGATACCCCACTTGCTAAAATACTGGGCACCAGCTGGGGATGTGCTGCTACTCCTGTACCAAAGTCTGCTTCAGCAGCGTATGGCCTGAGATCTGGGGAGAAATCTGGCAAGGCCTAAGCGAAGAACGTAAACCATACTGAAGTGTGCAGATGACCTTCCTGGAGAGAGAGTCCAACATTCCCTGGCACCCAAGGTTTTTTCCCTGATAAGGTCTCAGCAGCACAATGTGTCAATGTTCCTGTGTCCCAGAGACACAACTTTCCCCTCCCATGGAAACAGTCCAACTCTGCAGTGCTTATCGGAATTGCAAGCCGTAGCCTCGTTCCTGGACTGCAGCAAGAAGCCCCGTCCGTGCAAGTGTCTTCCATTTCTCAGCCTTGTGGATTTATATGGAGGCTTAATTATCTGTTCTGTGCTGGATGCCATAATGCGCCTCCTGTTGCCGTGCTGGGGAATGGGGGGGAGGAATGTTTTTTCCTGACTCCAGCTGGCCATGAACCCAGCTGCACAGAAATAGCTGGAGTAGCCACCTGAAGCCTTCCCATGGGTGCCAGGTGGCTTTACCTTGGAGAGATTTGCCATGCAGAGCACAGCGGGTGAAATTCTGGCCCCACTGAAGACAGTGCTGCCACTGCCATTTAACTGGGCCACTGTTTCACCCAACGCACTGTGGTGACTTCACTGGACACATGAAACATTACCCTACAGTAAGGCAGTCTGTAAGCCTGTTTATTAGAATAGGTAGGAGAAGTCCTAGATCAGCTCCTGTGCATGGTCTGGTGACTGTCCTGGCAGTTAAAGGACACTGGTATTGGTCAGTAATATTTATAATGGTATTTTTTAATAAGAGCCTGGAAGGGATTTTGACCCTCATGCTTCAGGGCTTCAGCTTGTCTCAAGGTATGAGGGGTCAGGAGGAAACATCCTCTGATGGCAGATAATTCCATAACTGCCTTCTACAAGGTTCTTGCATCATCCTCTGAATCAGCTGGTACTGGCCAGTTCCAGAGACAGGATGCCAGGCTAGATGGGAGCACAGGTTTGATCCAGCCTGGCAATTCCTGTGTTCTTATGTAAGGCCGCCCTCTTTGTGCCTCAGGGTATATTGTGTGGCAGATCTGGTGCTGCCCAATGTTGTAGCTCTGTACAGTTTTATTGATTTCTTTTATATAAAAGATTATCTGTCAAGGGCCAGGTAAATATAAATACTGTGACAGACCCAGACCAGTGGGGTACAGGAGTCTGGTAGAGGGCAAATATACTGGTCACTGGATGAGCAGTTTTCTGTTCCCTGAGTGACCAGAGAAGGGGCTGCACTAGAGTAATCAGGAACCTGCTAGAACCAGTTAAGGCAGGCAGGCTAATTAGGACACCTGGAGCCAATTAAGAAGAAGCTGCTAGAATCAATTAAGGCAGGCTAATCAGGGCTCCTGGGTTTTAAAAGGAGCTCACTTCAGTTTGTGGTGCGAGTGTGAGGAGCTGGGAGCAAGAGGCGCAAGGAGCTGAGAGTGAGAGGGAGTGCTGCTGGAGGACTGAGGAGCACAAGTGTTGCCAGACACCAGGAGGAAAGTCCTGTGGTGAGAATAAGGAAGGTGTTTGGAGGAGGCCATGGGGAAGTAGCCCAGGGAGTTGTAGCTGTCATGCAGCTGTTACGGGAGGCACTATAGACAGCTGCAGTCTACAGGGCCCTGGGCTGGAACCCGGAGTAGAGGGCGGGCCCGGGTTCCTCCCAATTGACCTGGACTGTGGGTTCTTCCAGAGGGGAAGGTCTCTGGGCTATTCCCCAACCCACATGGTGAATCTCTGAGGCAAGAAAATCTGCCAATAAGCGCAGGACCCATCAAGATAGAGGAGGAACTTTGTCACAATACATATATGCCTCTGCCTGGGGAAGAGGACACTGGGATATGGTTCAACTTACAATTAGCAGCATGGTTAAAATATAACATAATGGACACCTCTTATTGCTTAGGCCCTCGAGCTGCTGCATGCTTCTCCTGGGCTCCCAGACAGCTCAGAATGACTCACTACAGCCTAGCACCCAGGTTTCTACAAAGCTGCACATGCTGATCGCTGTGCTGTCGTCTGCGTGCCTCCTGTCTGAATGTGGGTGTGGGATTTGTGTGAGTTAGGCTGGAAGCCCGTGGAGCAGGGGCCTTGTCTTGAGTGTGCGAAGCCTGCACTGGGGTCACTCTAGGCCCTGGATAGGCCATCAGGGTAACTGACCATATGGGGAGAGGTGTGGTCATAGGGGCCCAGGTCTAAAGCCGTCATCTCTGAAGGCTTTGAGCAGTGGTTGTAACTTAGAAGATACAGAGGAAAGAGAGGGGTGAATAAAACCAGGTGTGGTGCAGCTTTCAGGCCTGGAACGCTGCACTCAGCTAACACCCTGGCTGTGGTGCCCGTCCGTCTACGCAGAGCCCCAGCTGGGACCTGGGGGCAGTAGGCGGGTACAAATTCTCCCCCTGCACCCTCTGTGGGTCTGTGTGGAGGGGGCCTTCTGGCGCTCGGTGTCCGAAGGAAGCGAAAGCTGCCGCAGCCAGCTGCCAATTCCTTGGCCTGGCCCCTTCACGGGAAGTTTCCCAAACCTCTGATCCGGCTGCTATGTCGAGGCTGCCGTGTTCAGCCTCCGGGCACTGCGGGGACTGGGGCGATGTTTGCGCCAGGGCAGTGGTGGCTGCTGGCGTGCGGGCTGTGCTCCGGAGAACTCTGCAGTCTTGGAGGAGGCGTGTTTCGTGGGCTGTCTCCCCCAGGGCACTGTAGACATGAGCGTCCCCTGGAACACTCCGCTGCATTACTGCAGTGGCTCTGCTGGCCTGGTGTGCTGAGAGCCTGACAGCCTCGGTGCTCTGGCGCGAGAAGATAAGAGGTGGGGGAAACAGCCTGCACCTGGCCCATCCCATGTGTTGCAGAAGCACAGAGCCGTGTGATGGGTCTGGGACGAATGCCTTTCAGCAGGCAGCCTTAGCCATGCATGTAGACAAAACCCTTCGCTCCTCGGTAGCTCCTGGCTCACTGTCCCGTCCCCTGGGCAGAGTGTTGTGGCAGCAGGAGAGCAGCATGTAACGCTATGGTCCTCCCGCTGCAACCTCCATCCTCCCTTCACACTGCCTCTCCCCCTTCCAGGGACTCTGAGCTCCGCTGCCCGTGAGCGTTCAGCGTGCCCTGCTTGCCGGCGCCTGTTCCAGGTTACTCCAGCGTGTCTCTGGACCGGACTAAGGTGAGTGCCCTGCGTCGGGGGAACGCTGCTGTGAGCATGGCTGGGGTTCTCCCAAGCAGGCGAATACCTGTGTGGTTCTGGCAGCGGATGCTCTGGGGCTTCTCCATTCATTCATGACACCATGCCTCTCGAGGTCTGCTGTCGGGGTGGGGGGTGAGTGAGGCAGTGTGGCCCTGTCTCCCACTCAGGGCTCGGTCCGTGCTGCTGGGCTGGAGAGATGGACAGTCCTCTTCCACCTCTGAATCCCTTTAGTGAGGCAGCGCTGTCTGGCCTCCCAAGGACAATTCCCGCGTCTGACGGAGAGTCCTTCTGTGGCTTGGGGCAAGTCATGCCTCTCTCTGCCTCAGTTTCCCCACAGGCCAAACATTGGCGGTAATCCTGACCGCCTCGTGTCATGGGGGTGAATGTTTCTGTATGTGCTGGATATCACCGTCCCGGGGAGAGGGGTGCCAGCCAGGGAGCACTGTGTGGCTGCATGAGCAGCTGAGAAGCTGCTAGGCACAAACCCAGCACAGTGGCCAGTAGAGACTGAAGTGGTGGCTAGTGGCACCGTTGCCAGGCCTGAGAGTTTGGAAATTACCTCCCAAGACTGATCCGCAACCTGAAATGCGCATCGACCCCATTCCCGGCTCCTGGAGCTCCCAGCTGCTGTGAGAAGCACTGTGTCCCCTGGGGCTTGCGTGTGCTGCCACCCCCTCATCTGACCTCACGGCATGCCGGACCCCTCCATTAACGTTCCTGCCCATCTGCGTGGATGTTGGTTTTCTCCCTTAAAAAATGTTGACCTGACTTAACCTTCCTGGAGTCACTCGACAGCAGCCCTGCAGCCTCTCACTCTCTCCCACTCCGCTCCAGCTCCTCACATGCCGCAGTTCAGCAAGCAGAGCCTTTCCTGGCAGGCCTTGCAGCTGTGACCCTTCGGGAACGGGCCACGTGGCAGAGCTCCTTTCCTGGCAGTGTCTGCCTGTTTCGCCCTGTGAAATTCCTACATGGTGCAATCGCTGGTATTTAGTAGAGCTGCCATGGACCTGGAGTCCTGATCTGGGTACAGACCAGGGGGGAAGACTCCAGGTACCTTTCCTCTGCCAGAGGGATCGGTGCTTTCGCTACTAACCATGGCAAGTGTTGGAGTTCTGTTCCAGACTGAATCACTGTCCCTGGGCAGGTGAGGGAGCGCCTGGCAGCGTGGCTGTCAGGCTAACAGCTGGACGCCTGCAGGTGGCATGGGGTTCAGTGATGTTCAGTTGCAAAGGGAATCTGCTGCCCCCTGCAGGGCACACTGCCATACCTTCACAGGGCGTAGGAAGGCCTGTGTCATCCTCACCGCTGGGTGCATGTTATCTTGTGTGGGGAAGTCGAATAAAGGATAGGACAGCTGGAAGGACGGGGCCTAACCCAGCCAGGCCGAGGTGCTGGAACAATTTGTATAGTGGGGGTGCCGTATAGAATGGAAACCACTTCAAGCCAGGGGGTGCAGCAGCACCCCTAGTTCCAGCCCCTGTGCAGCCAGGCATGCTCACTGGAGTGGGTCTGACCCAACGAGGTGCTGGCTGCATGCTTTAGCACCTAGGCTGTCTGTGCCCTTTCAGTCCAGCAGCCAGTGGCTGGTGTTGGACACAGAGACCGTTGCAAGGAGCTGTCTGGAGTGATTCCCTTAGTGCTCAGGGCCGCAGGGAACACTAAAGTTAACCACAACGCCTGTCTCCTTTTGCAGGATCGCCTGGTCACCATGATCCTGGGTTTGAGTCCCCGACACCCCCTCCTGGTGATGCTCTGCCTCCTGGGCATCTCCTGCCAGGTGCGGGGTGGCACGGACGCCTCGCCGCAGCCCGCCGTCACTGCAGCTTCCTTCCTGCAGGATCTCCTGCGCCGGTACGGCGAGAGCGACGTGCTGACCCTGCAGCAGCTCAAGGCCCTGCTGAATCGCCTCGATGTGGGGGTGGGGCACGAGAACATCTCCCGATCGGAGCCGCAGCGCAGGAACCTCTCCCGGGTAATGTGAATTCCTGTGTGTCCCCCTCTGCAGTGCCCCAGGAGGGACAGCCCGAGCCGCTGCCGCCCCGCCCCTCGTAAACACAGTGTGGGGTCACCAGGCCACTGGCTAAGCTTGTCTGGAATGGATGATCAGATGGGCCATGTTCTCTGCAGGGATACTCCTTGGGCTCACGTGGGCCCTGTGTCACCCATGCAGGGAATCTGCTTGAGCTCCACTCTGGAGACAGTTGCTTCCCCTGCTATATTGGCTTGCTCCCCTCGCTGTCCCAGCTGCTGTGCATTGTGTTCGGTGTTCGGCTCCTAGGGAGCCAGCTGGTTAAGTTGGGCAAAAGGTGTGTGTGGGGGGGAAATCCTGGCCCTTGTGGGTGGAGGAATCCATTACAGGCCAAGCAGAACTGCTGTGATGGTGGGAGATGGGATATTGCCTCTGAGTGGAGAGAATTCTCAGGGAAGGGGGAGAAAAACAGCCCCTGCAGCTAGGTGGTTTGTGGGACCATTAGACCTGCAGAGGGAGCTAGGGCCTCACATGCAATGGGATAGGCCCGAGTCCAATGAGCGGCTGCTGTGTGTGCATTGCGCCAGGAGGGGAAGGTGTTAGCAGGGGGAGGAGGGAGAGGATGCAATCAAGGAGCCCTCCGGGGATGCCCATGTTACCAAGCCAGACAGTAGAGCACACCCATGAGATGCTCAAGGTCTCTCTTTCCCCATGCCAGTGTTTCAGCTCCTCCGAGCTCTTTGCCGCCCACAACCTGAGCGAAGGGTCCCATGTTGGCCCGAGCAAGTTCCAGGAGTTCTGCCCGACCATCCTGCAGCAGCTGGAGTCTCGGGCGTGCACGGCAGAGAACCTAGAGAACGAGGAGAATGAGCAGACGGAGGAGGGGAAGCCCAGCTCGGCGGAAGGTGAATGGATAGCCAGGGGGCACAGAGAGGGGACCGGGACCTGCTTTAGCTTTAAAGGCATTGCTGAAGTGTGAGCTTTCCGAGCGCACCTCTCGAGTGCAGGGCATAGATACTTTTTCTAGCCCTCACTGCAGAAACGGGGTGTATTCTGGGCTAAATGTAATAGCGCCTGTTCATAACCCTTCTCCTTCCCAGCCTGCCAGGGCAAGCCATGGCCTCAGACCTGCAGCAGGAGCGACACACTGGCGCTGTGCAGTGCATCCAGAGCTCTGTCTTTGGCTGACAGCAATTAGAAAACGGCGCTAGCCTGCCCAGAAAGAGAGGAAGCATGGGATGGAGGGAATGGAATCATGGGATTTTTGGGAGTTTGACTCCCAAGTCCCAGAATTCCACTAGCTTCGCTATACATCCCACAATGTGCAGCAAGAAAAATCCCAGAATGCACTTGGCGATGCAAAGGAGCATGGGATACCCACCTGGAACGCCACACGCTTAGCGTGCACCACGCCCGCCGTATGTGCACAATGATGTGAATTGAAACAGCACCGCTGTCCCACGTGCATGCTGTTAGTGCAACTTACATGCCGCGCACCAGCTAGTGCGTGTCAGCCCAGTGTGAACTAATTCCCCACATAGACAGGCCCTTTGTTACACAGGGGAGTTGTGGGGACAGAGATCCTAGGCAGCGGGGGTCTCTTTTTTTTACATTAAACCACAGCTTTCCAACAGGTAGCCCTTTGAAGGTGCTTTCTGAGTTGAATGTGGAATTGGGCTGGCAGTTGTGATGGGGCTGCTTGTTAGGTGCAAGCCCAATTCATGATAGATGGCAGAGTGCAGGGGAAGGGTAGTCTGAGTCGCCATCCCCCAGTGTTATGTTACAGAAAGTCACATCAAATGCCCCCACATCTCCGTTTTCCCATCTTTAATCTGTGTGGCAATCCTTACCCGCCTCCCAGGAGGCTTGCCTGAGATTGCAGTGCTTTGAGATGAAAGATGCTGTCAGAATGCACTGTACAGCTATTAAGCCTGTCCTCTTAGTGATGGCTTTGGGGCAGTTGTTTGGAAGCAGAGGGACTCCAGTAAAATCACCCCTCCACACTTGCGTATGCAAGACTGGATTTTCTGTCTTTCCTTAAGTCATTGCAAAGACTTTTCATGGTCGGCGGGGAGACACATTTCTCTTGTGACAACCTTGGAAAGTGAACTTTCCAGGGGTAGCTTGGAATCTTGATGGCTTTTCCCCAGTGTAATTTTCTTGCAGATTCCATGGAAAACGCGGAGGCACTAGTGTTTGCAGCCTGTTGAATCCGCCCTCGCCTTCCCTACCAATGGCACTGCAGGGCAGAGAGAGCGAGCAGTAATTGGACCATAGACAATGCAGAGTGTAGAATTTGCTGCTGGGATATGTGACTTTAGTTCCCAGAGCAGTCAGCGCTCTCTTGCTCCGTAGTTATAGCAGAGGCAGTGCTGTCTATCAGTGAGACAGTAGTGATTGATTACCTGTGTTTGTGCCTGCTACCCCAGCCACACGCACTCACTCACATTCTCTCTCACACTTGTTCCAGGTTAATACAGCTCAGCAGGGCCTGTTTTTTATCTTTCACTATCTGATCTGGTTGCAGGTTAATAAATAACAGGGATTTCTATAGCCCCTTTCATCCAAAGCACATTACAAACTGTTTACATGAATTGCATTTTGCACACCCCTGAAACCGCTGCCACCTCTGAGTGGACCCCGGCAGCTGTCTCAATAGCCACACAGCAGCGCTGTGGGACAGACTAAAGAATAGCACACCATCCATCACGCGGCAGTTACGGGAGAGTTCAGGGAAGCAGCATGCAGTTGCTCAGATTAGAATTTCCCATGGATGCCAGGGTGCTGGTGGTTTGTATTGTTGTAGTGCCTCGGAGCCCAGCCATGAACCCCGTTGTGCTAGGCGCTGTGCAAACACTGCCCCAAAGGAGCTTATCAAAATAGAGTCCTAGGTTAACTTTCCAAAAGTGCCACGGGACCTGTAACAATCAAAAGTGGCCCAGGCCTCCGGGACAATAGCGCCCCCTATTGGAACACACAGTTATTGTCTCAGGAACTCCTTGTTAGACCATCTCTGATGCCTGCGATTCTCCCCCCTGCTCACAGGCATTCCTGGCTCTGGCTCACTTTTTCCAGCCTGTTAATGGGCTACAACTGAGCGCATGGCCTGGAGCATAATTACTCCCAGTGCCCTTTAAAGTAATTCAGAGACATGGAGACGCATTAACCAGGTTTATTTCCACACCCTCTCCCCGTCCTGTAACTGTCCCACCGTTAAAGTATCCCAAGCAGCACAGAGGATGGGAGTGATTCTCGGTCACAACAAGGCCCCCTCCTCAGTGAGGCCTGACTCCCCTGGCCTTCCCTGCCCAGCTGTATCCAGAGCTGCTGGCGTCTGCCCCTCCCCACCCCCAAAGAGCCTTGGTAATCCAACCCTCATTTCTTCTTGTTCCGCAGTGTGGGGCTTTGGCTTTCTCAGTGTGTCACTGATTAACCTGGCCTCCCTCCTTGGAGTCTTCATCGTGCCCTGCACCAACAAGGGCTTTTTCCGACGGGTCCTCACTTATTTCATCGCGCTCTCCATCGGGACGCTGTTCTCTAATGCGCTCTTCCAGATGATCCCAGAGGTGCAGTAGAACACACCCTGCCCTTCTCTCTGTCTCTCAAGGGGCTGACTCTCCCGCTGGCCTTTACAGCCCAGCCCCTGCCAAACATTTCTCCATTGCCAAGGCTGAGGGAAACTTCTCTTCCATGCTGGCTTCCTGCCAGTGACTTTCCAGGTCCTTCCTGCTCCTCTGAGCACCAGGAAACCTCACATGGTCTCTTCAGTGTTAACGTTTGGTGTTCAGGCAGCATGGGGAGCCCTGTGCCATCCTAGCTTGCTTCCTCCTTCCTTCCTGTGGGGTTGCCTGCAGCCTCTCTGAGAACAGCAATATCCTGTAGTTGCAGTGCAGCTGGCAGGGATCCTAAGTCTGGAGGGAGGGAGAAGATAGCTCCCTCCCCCATGTGACTCCTGCTGGGTGGTCACACAGCCCCTTTCCTCCCCCCAGTTGTAGTGGTTGGAAATATGGGTGGTCCTAGCTCCAGTGAGATCTCTCTTCTCGTGGAACAGATTGTAGTAATAAAGATCTCTTGCTCTTTGTGTTCCTGTTAGCATTTGGTAGCCAAAGGGGAGACTTCCCAAAGCCTGCCTGTGATGAGTGACACTAAGCATAGACCAAGTATATGCAAGTACATCAGGCAGTGTCTGGGAGCTTTAAGAGGACAGGGCACTCCTGTGCTGGGTTGGCAGCAGCTGTGCTGCGTCAGCGTTGGTCTAATGGGCAGAGCCTGGTGTAGGGGCGTTCCTGGGGCTCATAAGAAGGGTGTGTGGAAGGAAGGAAGGAACAGAGGGTAAAAATGCACAGAAGGAATTGAAGAAACCCCTCCTGCCGGGGATCCCAGCTTTCTCCTGGCTCCCGGCCTTGCTGATTAAAGGCGGCAGAGCCCCTGGAAAGATCGATGCAAAGTGAGGTTTCCTGGTGCCCTGATGGGTTTCTCAGATACATTACAAACTAATTTTTGTTTTAATTGCACAATTCTGGAGCTAAATAAATATTCCCATGTGCTTTACAATCAGGTGTTGGAAACACACACATTCCTCCAGCATCCTGCTTTCTGGCAGCAGGATTTTCTGAGCAGAGTCTAGGTGCTTAGGGACTTCAAATCCATTCAGATCCTCAAACTTTCAGCCTAGAAGTCATGGAATTAAAATAAAATCTCAGCTTCTCACTGGAGTCATCCTCCCACCGTGATCCCAGGGCTGCTTTGCATTCAGCATGTGTGCGCGCATTGTACTGCCCTGAAGAAGACAGGGTATCTAATTGTTAATTACCCTTCCTTGCCAGTGCTCCAGAGTGCTCCAGAGTGCAGGATCTCTTGGCTGTTTCAGTCAGCCGCCTGCTGGCAAGCAGAGAGAGTTGGGGACAGCAGGTTTGGTGCTTGTTTCTCTCAGCCCCTCGCAAGCTAAAACAAAGCTAGTACGTTTCATGTTGGGTCTCCCAGGCTTGGTGGACTCAACCTAACTCCCAGTATTCCTGCATATCCCATGCTGGCAAGGGCTGTTACCACATCTCTAAACCAGAGTCTGATGGAGCTCCTTGTTTGTGGGACTTGGGGAGGTATTTTTCAGCTCCAGAACTGTAACTTTATTGTATTTTTTTTCTCTTAAAAACCAAACAGATCAGTAATAAAGATCTCTTGCTCTTTATTTCCTGATCTGATGGGAACTAAAATGATGGCGTACACTCCACCCCCATGGGACGCACGTTGCAGGAGAACTCGCACGGCATGGAACGTAAACGCAGGTTAATCCATTAGGCTGGAAGGGCCTCGTACAGCCCAGGCAGAGCGCTTGGCCTCTCTGATGTTGTCTGGTGCTCAGATACTCCAGTGATGAGTGCACTAGGCATGCACAGGGTGAATAGGCTCTGCTGTGCAATGAGGGTGGAGTGTACGAGATGCTGGCTGTAAACCTGAAGTGCTCCATAAGATGCTGGAACTCTGACACGTCTTCCCCCCCCCCCCATTAAAGGGGCCTTATGCCCTTGGGAATGGCATGTGCCCACTGGGAGCCTGACAAGGTCACCGGGAAAGTGAATCTGTTTTGGGAGTAGAACCCTGATTTTATTTCTCTCTTCAAAATACACTTCACTTCCACCTGCCACAAGCTAACCTCCATTCTTGGAGTGTTTATTGTAAAGTAAGAGCCTTGTTAGGGTGAGGAATTTCAGTCCTTCACTCAAACCCCTGCTTCCCCAAGGAGAGAATCCATCCTCTCGTCAGTCTGTGATGCAGTTAGTCACAGCAGCTGCATCCTGCAGTGTGGGCTGCAGGGCCAGCTCCGCTGATTCACATTCCCTGTAGCGTTACAGCCGCGATCCTGCCCTCCCCAAAGGGGCCAGCGTGTCAGAGTTCCGGAGCCATCTCGTACCAGGTTTGCTTCTGGCCTCCCTGAACCAATTCCAGATTGATATGAAATCACTAATGAATGTCCCCTTTTCTCCTCCCTTCCCCCCCTCCCTCTCTCTCTGGTGTGGATTCACTTCTTTGCTGTCCTGTGTTGATTTCCCTGGACTCTCCTGCCCTCTGTGGTGTAACTGGGGTGGGGTTGGCACGCACGCTGCAGTCTGGGGTTACGGTTTCCTCTGCGTGACCGTCATCTCCCTCTGCTCCCTGGTGGGAGCCAGCGTGGTGCCCTTCATGAAGAAGACCTTTTACAAGCGGCTGCTCCTCTACTTCATAGCTCTGGCGATTGGAACTCTCTACTCCAATGCCCTCTTCCAGCTCATCCCCGAGGTATGGTGAGGGCCTTTGGGCCTGTCGTGTGTGTGTGTGTGTGTCGTCTGTCTGTCTGTGCTGGTTTGAGGAGAAGCCGGTGGAACTTGATGAGAAACATGAGTGACTGTTGCAGGGAGACAAAGATATGGTCAGACCTGGTCTGTGTCTGGTGCTGGAAATATTTAAGGCCCATCAGCAAGGCTAAATTCTGCTGTATGACTGTGTTAAGCTCCTAGCTGCATTGCCATTGACTGTGTGACCATGGACAAGTCACTTTCACCTCACCTTTCAGGCCTGTGTGCTCAATGGCCCTGATGGTATTTACTTACCTGCCAGGATGAGGTGTCTGGCCATAGTCTAACACTGCTCAGAGGACTTCAAAGCCTTAGGGTACATCCACACTACGGAGACTGTACAGGTACAGCTATGGCTCCATAGCTATGCTGGCATAACCCCATATCTTAGAAGCAGGCTGCACCAAGAGAAGGGGTTTTTCCATTGCTGTAGGAAGACCATCTCTCTGAGCTATAGTTGCTGTGTTTTAAAAAAAGCATTTGTCCATCGGCCTACCTACGTCCACCGTGGGGATTAGGTCAGCATAGCTGTAGGTGGTTGTTGTTGTTTTTTTCCTCACACCTGAGCTATGGCAACCTAACTTTTAAGTGTAGACCAGGCCTTAGCCATTCTCAGGCCATATAAAGAAAGTGGCTTTGATGTGTGAACAAAGCCAGGCTTGACTGGGTCACTTTTATGGTAGAGAGCAGATGGGGTGGAAAGAAGACTCCATGTTGAGGGGAATCTTAGCTGCCTGTTGGTGCCACTCGCGTCCCTTATATAAGGCTCAGTGTTCGTGCTGGCCGAGAGTGGACACGCTCCAGGCTATAGTCTCACTGGTGAGTTCATTGTGAGAAGTGGTTTAGACAGTCTAGGTTTTGAGATAAAAGGGTCCCCAAGCCCATGTGCTAGAACTTGCCGAAAACACCACCTATGCACACAAGAAATGAATAAGCTGAGAAAAGTGGAGTGTTACTGTCCAGAAAACCCCTACTCAGGTGCCTGATAAGTGATTGTTGGTGCAGTTGCTTCTCCTGATTCTGTGTTCAAAAGGAGAGGTCAGCTAAAGATGTTTTCTGGGAGTGGGCTTGCTAATACAAGAGATTTGATTGGCCCACCTGCCTGTGTTTATATTCACACCTGACTTGTGAGAGGAGGGACAGTGAATTTAAAAACCAATAGATTTAAAGCAAAGGCATTTTATAATTAACCTGTGGAACTCGCAGCCACAGGATATCAAGATGAGTAGCTGAGTGAGATTTATAGAGGTATTAGACACTTTAGATTAATGTGAGTAGGATCTGCAGTGGCACTGTGAGATAAAAATGAGATGGGCTAACAGTTCTCATGCATCAGGGCATGAGCTGATTACGTCTGGGGTCGGGAAGACATTCCCTTCTAGCATGCAGTAGTATTGCACAATTAGGTGTGCTAAGCCTTTCCCTGAAGCATTCATTGGGGGAGAAAAGACTAACTGAAGTGCTGTTCTGCTGTCCCTGTACTGAGAGCTCCTAGAGACAAGGGTAGGGGAGACAAGGGATGCTGCTGGAGTTCATGGTTCTCAAACCTTTCTCTGTTGCCCCTTGTCTTCAGGCCTTTGGATTCAACCCTAAGGAGGATTATTATGTCTCCAAATCTGCAGTGGTCTTTGGGGGCTTTTACTTGTTCTTCTTCACAGAGAAAATCCTGAAGATGCTTCTCAAGCAGAAAGATCAGGTGAGGTTGAGCTAGTCCCATGGGGGAGCGGGTTAGGCATTCCCAGATGGTATCGCTGCCAGAAAGGTGCTTCCCAGTGGGCTTACTCGGATGCAGTTTTCAAACAGGTGCACTCTGGAAAGGCTGCCTGCTTTACTGACTCTTAAATACTGTGTGAAGAGAAAAGCTTAGATCCGGGGTGGCCAACCTGAGCCTGAAAAGGAGCCAGAATTTACCAATGTACATTGCCAAAGAGCCACAGTAATACGTCAGCAGCCCCCCAGCAGTTCCCACCACCCCGCTCCCAGCGCCTCCCGCCCACCGACAGCCCCGCCGATCAGCACCTCCCGATCAGCTGTTTCGTGGCGTGCAGGAGGCTTGGGGGGAAGGAGCGAGGGCATGGCAGGCTTGGGAGGGGGCAGGAAGGGGTGGAGTGGGGGCAGGGCCTGTGGCAGAGCCAGGGGTTGAGCAGTGAGCACCCCCCAGCACGTTGGAAAGTTGGCGCCTGTAGCTCCAGCCCCGGAGCCAGTCCGTATACAAGGAGCCGCATATTAACTTCTGAAGAGCCGTACGTGGCTCCGGAGTCACAGGTTGGCCACCCCTGGCTTAGATCTTTGTATAACAAACAATGGTTCCCTTTTTACATTTAGGGGAGGGTGATATTTTTGACAGAAAAGGGGGAAGTAAGAGACAGTTGGGCATGATGCTGTATGTTTCTTCCTTCTCCTGATCCACCCCAAAAGCTGTCACATGCCATCCCAGAAGTAGCTGTAGTGACTTGTGCGTGTGTGTAGTTTGTACAGTCGGTTAGCAGAGGTGGAAGTGCTCTGGGATGAAAGATGCTATGAAAATGTACAATCACAATGTTGGGTTTTAATAACCAAAGAGACTCTAGTTTCCTAGTGGTTTTAGTCAGCTTCAGCATCGCTGTCTCTGCCAGGTTTCCTGTTCTAGCTTGTGGGCAAGCTAAAATAATCAGCATGCCCCAGGCGTTTGAGCCGGAAATGTACAAGTGACTGCATGCACCCATGCTGCATGTGGCTAAAGCCTGTAAATCTCTGTATCCTTCCAGCACCATCATGGGCACAGCCACTACAGCCCTGAGACCCTCCCCTCCAAGAAGGACCAGGAGGAAGGGGTCACTGAAAAACTGCAGAATGGGGACATGGATCATATGATCCCTCACAGAACCAGTGAGCTAGAGTGCAAGAACCCATCTGTGGATGAGAAGGTCATTGTGGGCTCTCTGTCTGTCCAGGTTAGTGCTTCTCTTCCCTGGGATTGTTACCAGTTACAGCTGTTGATTGGAGGCGTTGGCTTAGTCTGCAGAGATGGGCATGACACTGGGCAGCGCAGTAAGACAAATGGAGTTGTCCGCAGTATGGTGTGGGTTGGTGACCCAGCCAGTGGGGTTCACATGTGACTTTGGGTGCTCCCTTGCAGGACCTGCAGGCTTCCCAAAGTGCGTGCTACTGGCTGAAGGGGGTGCGATACTCTGACATTGGCACGCTGGCCTGGATGATCACCCTGAGTGACGGGCTCCACAACTTCATCGACGGCCTGGCCATCGGTGCCTCCTTCACCGTGTCTGTCTTCCAAGGGATCAGCACCTCCGTGGCCATCCTCTGCGAGGAGTTCCCCCACGAGCTGGGTACGTGGCTCTTCAGCTGGGCACCCTAACTGCGTTTGGTCCCCAGCCAGCCAAATATTTAAGCATGTGCTTAAGTCCTTAAGGAAAGCGTGAAAGCACTGGTTTAACTTGAACCTATTTCACCATTTTCTTTCAACCGTCAACAAAATGTACCAACTGTGCGTGTGGTGGAGGGCGGTATGTGAAACCAGGGGAGGAATGCTGCTGAATCACATTGTATAATCTGTTCTGAAAACCAGGGGTGTTTGTGATTAAATGTAGATGGTGAGACAGCTGGTAAAACATCTGTTTTGTGTTTGAGTGTCGAGAGTTATACGTGGAAGTAGATGTAGACCTTGGGCACCTGGTGAATCGGCGAGTCCGTCAGTGTAGCAAAGTTTTGGTTCCTTTGCGTGAGGGTGTCCTTGTTCTTGCAGTTAACTGCCTTGATGGGGCTTGACACAAGATAGCTTCTTGAGCAGTGTAGTGCAGTGGATAGGGCACTGCTCTGAGGCTTAGGAGGACCTGGGTTCTATTCCTGCCTTTACTGCCAGCTCGCTATGTGACCTTAGACCAGTCACTTCCCCTCTTTTTACTTCTGTTTCCCCAGGTGTAAATCAGGATAATGATACCCTACTTTTTTTTTTTTTTAAGCACTTTGAGGTCTATGGATGAAGATGCTCTATAAGAGCAAGGCATTATTATTAATTTTATGTAAGGCCTTGATTCAGCAAGAGGGTTGAGCATTGAAGCATTTGAAGAGTCCCGTTGACTTTGACTTCAGTGGGGGTACTCACATGCCTCAAGTTATGCACGTGCTTAAGCACCTCAGTGAGTAGGGGGCCTAATTGCTGAGTGCTGTTCTCCAGTGGGATGCTGCATTTGGACAGGAGTTTGCTGATGAATCCATCCCATAGATGGTCATGTGTAGCTGTCTGTCTCCTCCTCCCCTTACATTTTCCTCCCTTTTGCAGGTGACTTCGTCATCCTGCTAAACGCCGGAATGACAATCCAGCAGGCGCTCTTCTTCAACTTCATCTCGGCCTGCTGCTGCTACCTAGGATTGGCCTTTGGGATCCTGGCCGGCAGCCACTTCTCTGCCAACTGGATCTTTGCTCTGGCTGGTGGGATGTTCCTCTACATTGCGTTGGCTGATATGGTAAATCCCAAACCAACAGTAACGGAGGGCTGCTGGCTAGGGGATCGGAGCATTGCAGGGTTGTTGTTTTCCTGCAGTGACCACTGCCCAATGAGCACTGATGAGCCAGGGTCAGGATTATTGTTGCACTGCAAAGCTTCGAGGATGCAGAGTTCTGGGAGTTAAGAGGACTTGCCTAACAGCAACGCTCTGCAACATCATGTGCGGTACACCAGGATTCCCGCCTGACTTTTCACAGTGAGGCCTCTGGGTGATTTTGAGGTGGGGTATTGACTGGCCTGTGTAAGTCAGGAGTATCTGCAACCCTGGGTACGGAGGGGAGAATGGTGACAATATCGCGTACAGAAGGATGGTTATTCCCTCGTGCCCACCAAATGGAGGGTGTGTAACTAGCCTATAGCCAGACCACTTTGAGCTGTAAATTTATCCGATCTTAGCCTAGCAGGGTTGGACAGGGTCAGATCAAGAACACTTGGCCTTGATTGTGAACAGCTCTATATAAATTAATGCCTAATAATAGATGTGGGGGATACAGCGCTGGGATCTGCAGGTGCAAATTCGCAGGGAGCCTGGAGGGTGGAGAATTTCCACGACTGAAACGTTCCAATTCTTTTCTCAGTTCCCGGAGATGAATGAAGTGAGCCAGGAGGACGAGCGGAACGGCAGTGCCTTGATTGCCTTTGCTATCCAGAACGCAGGGCTGCTGACCGGATTCATTATCATGCTGCTGCTCACCATGTTCTCAGGCCAGATCCAGATAGGGTAGGGACGGGCCTGGTTTGATTGGGCTTTCCCACGTCGGACTGCATACGGACTGACGGCACCTGTATGAGACATCAGCGTTGCAAAAGCACTACAGAAAAGAGGCATTTTTTTTAAAACTATCCCATAGACTTTGTATCGTTTATTTCAGGGGGGCTGATGAAGCTCCTTGCCCTAGATCTATAGTGACCCAAGGACCTGTATCCAGTGTAGCGTCCCTTCCTCTACTCTCCTTGCATCAAAGGGACTCCTGGGAAGGACGTGTGAGAGGATCAGGAGAATGGACTCTCTGGCTGCATCGTCCCCTTCGGAGAGCTCCAACCATGGACATTACTTCTTTCCTTCCTCTTCGGGTGGCTGCGGATGGGGGATGGATGTGGTGTCGGCGCTGGACGGGAGGCCACTTTACCAAGGCAGATGCTGTGCTTGAGGCTTGTACTAGTCCATCCCTCGTACTCCATCCCTCCATGGGCAATGGAAATGTGAGGCATAGGAACAGCCGTGGGTCCCAGGACAGCCCCAGTATTTACATGCGTTACCTGTAGCCTCCAATGCTCCGGTTGTGCAGGTAGCCGGTGTTTCTCTTTAGCATGGGGAGCATGCCTGCCTTTTGGACCTAAATATGGAGTCGAGACCTGTTCGAGAGCGGCTCTTTCCTCCAAAAGCTTCACTTGCCAGCATCTCTGCAGTGTGCGCTGGGCTGGAGGAAAGGGGCGGAGTGTGAAAGCGAGATGAAGAGGTCTGGGAAGGTCGCACAGGGAGAGGGATGAGCAAGAACGTATCCTGCTGCTGTGCTGGAATGATCCTTTCCTGGCACAGGTAGTGGATACTGAACTGGGCAGGCAGCCTTGGTTTCCCTGCTCTCCTAGTCACAGCTGTTGCTGCTCTTGTCTCTTCCCACTGGCTGCACGGGCAACACTGAAGATACCAGGGCAGAAGAAGTGTTTGACATGCAGTCAGACTGGCTTCGGGGGGGGCGAGGGGGGAGTTTAATGAACTATACAGTTGCATCTGGTGGTCAGAATTACTGTAATGGACACTTCTGGGTGGCTTCCAGGAGGTAGAACAGCCAAACACCGCTGCCTCTTGCAGGAGTCCCTCCACAAAGAGGAAAAGTGCTTAGATCCCTCCATCCTAACTCGGGACACTTTGAGAGCAGAGGGAGCGGAGCCGTGAAGCGCAGATGCTGCAGGATCTCACCATTGCAAGGGAAGAGCATGGCAGCTGCAGTCAGACCAGGGCGGTGTGGAACACAAGTCCTGGTGCCAGTTTCTCAGGCCTTCCTGCGAGAGCGATCCTTACACTGTGACCAGGTTCACTTGGAATTGGACATCTGGTTTTAAACACTGACACTGCTGAGTTTCAAGGTTTTTTAAAAATACTGTACGTTTCTTCAGGGCACAGGGTCCCAGGAACACAGGCTGTGGAACTGGAACCCAGCTCTGGGTAGCAGTAGGAGCTGGGAAGGGAGTTAAAGGCATTTCAGAGCTCTGCTTCTGGGCTAGCTTTCCTCCGATTCACTAGGTGAACCGACTTATTGTTAATGTTTGGTCCCTTCAGCTTGGGCAGGGAATGAGGTTCCAGACTCTGCCTCCCATGGTTGTGAATTTATGGCTGCTGACTAACAGAAGTTCCTGCCTCTGCTACTAGCTTGTTGGGTGACCTTGGGCTAGTCGCTTCCCCTCCCCCCCCCTTTCTGTGCCTCCATTTCCCCATCTGAAAAATGGGGATGATGATGCTGACCTCCATGGTAAAGTGCTGTGAGATCTACTGATGAAAAACACGAGATAAGAGCTAGGGATGATGATTATTCTTATTATTTCTGTGAGGGGTGTCGAGTTTGTTGCTGCCACTCTGTCTCTTGTGATCATTCCGTCTGCCTGATTGGCTGCCTGGTGCGTAAAGGAACAGTTGTTGTCCAGTCCCTTGTCTTGTAACTTGTTCGTTTACGCACAAAGTTATGTTGCCTTGTTATGCTGTCCTCATGGCAGAGGCTGAGCAGAAGCGATTCCTGATGGTTTCCCCCTGCACCCCTTCAGAAGAAAGGTGAAAGGCCTGTTTGCTTATCATACCCAATGCTTTCACACCCCACACCTCAAGGATTTAGGCCCCTCTTTGGTAAATGTGAGCTAGGCAGCTACACCCAGGCCCACTGCCTGCCTCCCTTCAATGAGGGCAAGCTGAGATAGAAGTAACTCCAAAGGAATAGATCTCATAACCAAAACCACCTGGGACAACAGCTGGCAGGCACAGCGCCTCCAGCAGGATCATGACTTGCTTTGACTGCCTTCTAATGCTTAACTTTAACTTGCTCAATAAAGACTGGACATCAAACCCCAGTCTCCTGTAGCTGTCAGTCATCTGTTCCATTGTACTAGCACGATTGGCCCTAATGGAGAGATACAGCTGGGTGTCATTTACATATGGCAGCAACCATAGTCCCTGTCTCATTCATAGCACTCCTAGTGTCCTTGTAAACATGTTGAACAGTGTAGAATCCTGTAGTACCTGTGCAATACAGACTTTTGTTCGCATGACCAATTATCCATAATAGCCTACTGGGCTATCCTATTTTAAAAACCGTTTCAGAGCAGCTCTGTTAACTTGGGCAAAGGACTACAACCTTGTCAATAGTATCTCTTGTTTACTGCCTGTATCTTAGGTAGCTGGCATGCTGTCTTCCTCCACAGCTAGGAGAAAGTCTTTGCCCCAAGCCATTCTTGCCTTTTATGGCCCAGACCTAAACCCTAGTTAGTTTACACCATCTTTTTATGGTGCTTCACCAATGAATGCTTGATATGGGTTCACCCAAACTTTGCCAACTCCATTTCACCAAACCTTTCCTTGACATGTTTATAAAAAGACTAGAATAGGGGCCTTTGGAAAGCAGCAGAACCATCTCCTTTCCCCTGGGAAAACCATCATTGTGGGATTCCTGCTGCCCAGTTGAGAGGTGAATGGAATAGGATGGCACTCTTCTGTGAGTCACACGGGAAAATTTTTGGTCAGGCCAGCATCTGTCATCAGCAGCTGACCAGGAGAAGTTCTCATTGTAACAGTGAGGAGGCCAGCTTCTGGGAACAGTACTTGAGAGGGAAACTGCCTATGATCAAAAAGCATGCACTACCACTGGTAGGAGAGCTGCAGCGCTGTATCTGAATTAAGTAATGTCTGAGAGTGAGAGATTAAACCCTGTCTTAAGGGGAAAGGTCTGGGCTGCCTATTCTCTCTCTCTAGGAAGTATTTAGAAAGCACATGCCATCTAGTGCAGTGCTTCTCAAAGCCGGGCCGCTGCTTGTTCAGGGAAAGCCCCTGGCGGTCCAAGCCGGTTTGTTTACCTGCCGTGTCCGCAGGTTCGGTCGATCGCGGCTCCCGCTGGCCACGGTTTGCTGCTCCAGGCCAATGGGGGCTGCGGGAAGGGCGGCCAGCACGTCCCTCGTCCTGCACCGCTTCCTGCAGCCCCCATTGGCTTGGAGCGGCGAACCGCGGCCAGTGGGAGCCGAACCTGCGGACGCGGCAGGTAAACAGACTGGCCCGGACCGCCAGGGGCTTTCCCTGAACAAGCGTTGTCCCGACTTTGAGAAGCACTGATCTAGTGCATTCCAAAAGGGTGAAGATGGCTTAGCTTTTTCATAGTGCCAGCGCTCTCTCTGGCAAGGATGGTTCAATGGTACACGGAGAGGAGGCACTGCACTGCCAGCATCTGGGAAATCTGCCCCTCTCCTGGAACAACACCCTCCCCCCCCACACACACACCCCCATCGTACTTAGTAACAAACCAAAACTAGAAACTAAGCTGTGCTCCAGGTGGTAGAAAACTCTAGAAGAACTGATGTGTAATTTCCTCTGGGCTGTTCCAAGACGTTGAAGATGACAGAGAAAATCCTGAGTCCTTTTCTCTAGTTTCCCATCAAGGTGTTCTTGGGAGCTGACTTTATCAAGAAATTTGCAGGCTGGAAATTTGGGTGAATTGCAGGGGGTGCAAAGACCTTCATAGGAATGGAGCTTCTGTTAGAGAGTTACCTATGAAATCCTCCAAAAACATTCTCTACATGTGTAGCTGGGGGAGGCAGGTAACCAATGCATTAATTAAAAGGAGTGCCTGGAAGAGGCTCCTGTCTCTCGTTTGTGCAGGATGGTACAAACCGGAAGGAGGGAGGGTCTGTGGGGGAGGAACTGGAGGGATGGCTGAGAAAGGAAATTGACATAAAGCTGAGCTTGTGAGTGTTTTTATTTATATTTCCCTTTACACCTCTGATTAGCAACTCAAGTTCCATCTCAGTATTTTAATATCTCAGGTGTTATAAGAGATACTTGTTGAAACACTTGTTGAAACAAAGAACATAACTTATGTCTTGTGAACTGTAAAGTTTATTTGTAAAATTCCATAAATTAAAATCTATTCTGTAATAGAATTGCAAGTGTGCTCTGTGCGGTATCGAATTCTGATTAAAGGCAGTACTGTATATAGCCTGAAAGGTTGCAGAATAGTCTCCCTAGGGAAGAGACTGAAGTTTCATTACTTCAGATGTTTAAAACTAGCCTGGGGGGTAAGGGGGACTTGGGGGTGGGCTGGAGGGAGCAATCCTACATTAGAAGGCTGGGCTGCATTGGATGATGTAATATGACTTTTCCATCTATAACTTCTGATTACCCTGCTTGTGCAGACGCTGGCTTTAAGTGCAGTGCTGCGTTTTAAACAGAAGATGGCACTGATGCCCATTCATATGCATCATTTGATCTGTTGGATTCTTTGGTTTGTGGTGCCCCTTTCTCACATTTTCACTTTCTAAGTGTTCACCTTCTTAAAATGATATGTCCATTCAAAATACTGTCTTTGGGCAGCAAGCCAATTGCCTATTAGGACTTTAGAGCCCCCTAGGGGGCTTCGGGATGCCTGGTGGATTTCACTCTAGTTCACATGAAGGGACTCTGGGCCAGTGGTGCCTGTGTCATTCTTGCTGCTTTCATTTATTTTTTAAAATGAGCATAGTCAGTTTTGACTCAATGTCACATTCCAGGCTCTTGTATGGCAGCCCAAAACTGCCCTAGCCTGGTTGTAACCACTTTGTTTGAAAGCAATAAAATATTTATTTAAAAACAACTGTTTCCCACTAGGTTTAAACAAACAAACAAACCTTGAACTATCCTGGCTGCCCTTACAATAAATAACCCTGAACAATAATTTTGGGACAAATGTGACTTACTGCTATCCTCTTAATGCAGTGTTTGAGTTGAGGAATCAAGTATGCTCATCCGGACCGTTGATCAGTAAGGTTTCTTCAGTATTAACTTGGCTCTGTTGGGCATAGACCAGAGCTTCTTGACTGTTTTCAAATCATGGCTACCCATGTGCCCATTTTTTCTGTCAGCAACTCTGTACCTCAGACTATTGGCTCAGTTTAAATCCCAGAAACTTTTGCAATTTTTGCTACAGTTAACCCCTCTTCTTTGCAAATTTAAAATTACTTTTTTCCAACTGTTTCAATGAGCCATTTTTAAAGTTTTCTTTAAAGATAGATGCCTGTTTACCAATAATTCTCAAGCTTCTGGTTTCAGTCACTGCTACCTATCCTTTATCTCTAAATTTGTCAGTCTCGCTCAATTACTCTGCTTGTACACAAGTACTTGCAATTCCCCTTTTCCTGTTTAAAGGTAAGCTTAATATTCTTGTTTTGTTAAATGAACACCATTCAAATAGCGTGTCAGGTTAATGGAGCCCTGGGTTCTGAGTGTGTGATGTCTCTCTTTGCCTTTTGACGGGCTAGCTAGAGCCCTGTGGATAGGGATGATGGCTCTAAGTACACTGCAGCCTGTTATTTCTAGTGTGGAGAGGAGGCAATGTGTATTAGCATGTAACGTTGGTGGTTGGGCAGAGGGGTGGCGGTAGAGGCAGTGTCCTGTGTACATTGCAATCCCTATACATGTTGTTAAAGGAAAACTACTGCACAAAGCGGGGGGGGGGGGGGGGGGGGGGGGGGGGCGCATAGGGGTGTCCTCTCCCTGCCATGTTTCACTGTAGGATGTAAAATCCTGTGGTCTGTGCCATGCTTTAAGCCTCTGCCCCGTTGGGTATGAGGCCTTTCCCTTTAGGATGTGCCTTATTTGAAAAGATAAGGCTGGGTTAAGGGGTCCCCTGGAGCTCTGTCCTCAAAGGGGGCAGCCCCAGCCCCCTGTTCCCAGGGGGGCAGGGAGTGAAACCCTAGGCCTCCAGGAGGGGGCACGAGCTGTGCTCTATGGGGCGTGAATCAGGCTCTGAGCTTCCCCCCTAGCCCTGGTGCCTGGGCTCAGGCTGCCTCCCACCCTAGGCCGCAGGCCCTAAGCAAGGCCGGACCCTCAGCTCTTAGCAACCCTGATCATTCAAGATGGTGTGGGGGGAAAGGAAAGAGTTCCCCGCAGCTTGGTCACGTGACCTCGGAGGAGGACCGTTCCTAAAGGCGCCTGCGGGAGACCATCAGCGCGGGTGGGGGCAGTGCGCGTGCGCCAGGAAAGGGCCGGGCGGGGGTGGGGGGCGAGGAACACCAGTTGGTGCATGCGCGCAGAGAAGAACCGAGAGGGTAGGTGGCGCCTGCGCACGAGAGGAAATGAGGGGGTTGGCGCCTGCGCGCGCTCTCCTCGGGAGGTGGAGGCAGGTTGGCGCCTGCGCGCTAACGGCGTAGGCTCGGGGAGGGGGTGGGGAGAAGAAGAGCTCGGGAGGAGCCGCTGCC